CACACACACACACACACACACAAACTCATGAAAGTCTGTTCTCTCAAACTCACACACACACAACACTGAGATTCTTGCAGTTTCTTCATATTTTACAGTACAATATGCAGTACAATTTACAGTATTCTATAGTATGATTTAGTGAAAGCTTTGCTTGGACTGTTAATTTCAAATGACCCATAAAATATGTAAATCAATGACAGTATCTTTACCATCTGATCGCATCCCTGTACCGTGGTACCAGATCTTTTGCTACTCGTTGTAGCAAAGCTAACTACACAATCAAAACGATAATTTGTCTGCAGCATGTAGAGCTTGGAAAACCAGTTTGAAAGTAGCTTCCCCAACTCCACAGTGTCATCTTTATCAGCCGTGAATGAGAACAAGAGTGGAGGTTGATGTGATGACGCAGGTCTGTACCTTGGGCCGCTCGGACTGTCTGCGGTATACTCCACTACCTCCAAACGCTCTTATCAGCTCGATACAGACTCATCAAGAGCTCTGTTGAGACCACAACTCACTGTTTGTGTTCTGCTGATAGCAGCCAAAAGATAACATTCAGAAGCTGCTCTTCATTTGCGGGTGCAGCTCTGTGGGAACGTGACCATCATGAACCGGATTCAATGTGTGCATATGTACAGTGGGGTCCAAAATCTGAGACCACTAGTAAAAATGTTTCTGTGTTTTCCCAAATTTAATACAACCCTGTACATTACAACTATTTCAGTAAAGTTTAATTAAGTTTAATTAAAAATGAACATGAATTTGAACGTTTCTTTGAGTATTTGGTTTGTTTCTTCTTCCTGTTATGACAGTAATACTGAAGCTGCATGAAAAAAACCTGATGATCATGTTTTCCAGGATGATTTGAGAATCATCTAAAGAGCATCTTGTACCCCAGTGGAAGCAAGAATATCTGACCAACTGTACAAAAGATGGCCACAGATGTACAAATGTCACAAAATTGCTTATTTGATTAGTGACAAAAAAAAAAAAATGTTGTCATTTAATAATTTAGCATTCCTTTATTTTAAACTTGTCTAAAACTTAAAATGCTATTTTTATTCACAGTTTTTTTCAGTTTCAATAAGCCTTTTATATATTTTGTCATTTTGTAGCAAAATAAATTTTGTTTGTTTACCAGCTTACAAGGCTATTTCATAGTAAAAAAAAACAAAAAAAACAACAGGTTAACATCTAATATTATAATACAACATGATTTTATATAATAAAAAGTTATTTCCATTAAAAATATATTTAAGCTTTTATCTTAGATTAAAAAAAAAAAAAATCTGGACTTTCAAAGGTTTCAGTTGACTAAAACAACTTGTCAACTTGTCACATTTAATTGAATGCTGCAGTTTATCATTCTCAAATCATTGAAGTGTTTGCATTTTTTTTATGTAAACGTGTAAGTGGCATCACTTTCTAAAATATTTGCACGAGGTCAAAAAAAAAAAGCCCACTACATTTTCCCATTTTTTTTATACCTGTGATTTCATTTTACAAGTTTATTTGCTAACTTTATTCACATTACAGAAAACAGTCTGACTAACTTACCACACTGGCACCCATGCTGGTCTGTCCGCTGCCCAGCCATGGCATGGAGGATGATGCTGCCATTTGTTGGGGGGCAAATGGACCGGCACTGGCCTGGGCGATGTTGGTGTGAGACGAGCGGTAATCCACATCATCAGAGCTACACAGAGAAAACAAGGAATTTCATAGCAATCAAATCTGTGAGCTGAATGATTCAAACACACACAGACAGGTGACAAACCTGCGAGACTCCTTGTCAAATTCCTCTCCGATCCAGGTGTAAGGCTGAGCTGCGAGCAGTGAGGACACGTCCACTTCCTGGACATCATGAGTAGACGCCAGCACTATTTCATTAGTGTTAGCCTTAGAGAATGAACACAAACACAAATTAAAAAGGATGTTAAAACATTATTATTATTATGAATATTTTGAAATAAAGAGTTTACTGCAGTATGTAGAATTTAAAAAAACATTGCATTGTTGACAGAAAAAAAGTCACATCTGTCGCATTTTAATACATTCAGAAACAAATGTAAAACAATAAATGCAGTATTGTTTTAAAATCTTGCATGTTCATTAAATTTATTACAATGTACAAAACAATCGTTCTGGACACTTCAACTAGTACCACAGGCCTACTATTAACACTGAAGTCCTCCGGTTTCATTTTACAGTAAATACAGTCGATAATTGAAGCTGATAGCAGTTGCGTTTGATTAAAACTAATGTGATATGAGATGTGAAAGAAGCACTGGCCTCAAATACCCGGAATGAGCTGTAGGATATCAGAGCGAATCAGACAATTTAAGATTTGATCAGAACAGTGTTGAAACAACACAAAGAGCCAGATTCCACAAAGAGGCCCCGAACAACATGGACGGCCATCAATCAGATACCCTGGGGAGCCAGCAAACCTAACTAGCAGATTTAAACAGCTTGCAGCGTTAAAACAAAAGAACACATTGATAATTCCAACTCAGGAAGGAGATTGTCAAATTTGGGGCAAGTGACCCAAGATTAATGGTCAAAGAGACAACACATCATGACCATCACGAGTAAAACCATGAGGAAAATCATGAGTTAAGACTTCCCGGGATTGGTTTTCCCTCACTCAGGACAGAGACCGGACTTAGACTCCTTCTAGACCTTTTGTTGCTCACAGAACACATCCTCACACTCACAGAACGGCACAGAGACTGTCTTTTACATATATAAATGCATCAAAATGATGCTAAAATGACTTGTAAATGAATATCAGTCCCTTAAATAACTCCATATCATGTATGTAACCCACACATTTGACTATTATGTTCTAATAACTCATATATGTCCTTTGAATAACTATTATATTCGAGTTTGGTATGTGTGTGTTTGAAAATTCTTCCTTAAAACTTTTCTATCAGTCAATTCTTTGTAAACTGTATCATATTCTTATTATAGAAATCATGTTTAAATTATACTCTGAAAGAGTGGGAAAATTCAGACCATGTGACTAACAAGATAACACGTTGATGTATGTATGAGGAGAAACATAGCAATACTCTAAGCTAAGACGATGTCTAATTGGTCAAGACACCATTTGGGATGTGTCCAACACAGAGTTTAAAAACTCAGGACACAAACAAATTTTGCTTTTGCCACTGCTTTTTTTTTGCCTTTTTGCCACTGCTTTTGCTTTTAAGCTTTGCGTTCTTCAAGCGCTCTTTCAGCGGGCTTTCTGGCCTGCTTGTCTGCTGCTCCTCTACTATCATGAGGAGATAAAGCCATCTAGTCTCATCACACCCTTCTTTCTTTCTTTTTTACTTTAGTTTATTTTCTTTTCCCTTGATAGTTTCGTGTTTTGAGTTAAGTTTTGCCTTAAAGACATGTCTTCGAATCCGACCTCGTCTGTGCCCGCCGCCAAAACTTCAACCAGCCCAAGACTCCACACCCATCCTTCAGCCAACGCCCAACGGTTGGCTTCCCCAAGACGTCACTCCGGACGCTACTAGACCTCCAGTGAATCAACAACCTGGGAAACCCCACACAACAACAAAGGGAATGTCCTAACACAGGCAATGCCTCCAGATTCTAAACTGGTGCATTTAATATAAAGTATCACAGCCTCATTGAAAAGTCAATGTGAGGGTTAATATAATGATTGATGGTTGTTCAGGTCTAAGCAATTGCACATATTGCTAAAAACTGGGGATTTCACATGTTCACTTACAACTTACAACTTCTTCCCTCACTTTCTCCGTTTCTTCAACTTGTATGAATGTGTGAGTGCATGTGTTTGTGTTAGATTAGTTTATATCTTAGAATTGTCCAACAAAGTCTTGTTTGTATTGAAAAGTGAAGTATCATGTTTTTTTTGTGCTTACAAGTTAATGTTTTAAACTGCCGATCTAGTTACTGTGTGTTTTCACTATACTTTGGATATTTATATCCGTTGCAGAGTTGATGTTATATGGCCCGTTCAGTGTAACGCTGGCCGATTCAGTTGATCAGCCATAGAACAGTGATTCTGTCAAAATTCCCTATAAAAATTAAAATTAATTCCATTTGAGCTAAATTTACCTGTTTCCCTTACAGACCGGTGTGTTATTTGGCATTGCTACTGATGACGGCTGTTATCAGGTAATAACACACCTCAGAATGTCACGACAGACCAATCAGAATCAAGTATTTATAAGTAGTATCAAGTATCAAGTAACTGCTTGAGGTTTCAACAAACCCATCGCCCAACTCAATCCGAGCAGCTGAGTACTTAGCCATCTTCAAGAAAAGACTAAAATCACATCTGTTCCACCTTTATTTTACCTTTTAACTCTAGCACTTTCTATTCTATTTTAATTCTACCGCTTTGGATAAAAGCGTCTGCTAAATGACTAAATGTAAATGTCAAGTATTTCAGAGAGCTGTGCATTAAAATATATTAGGTATATTATATATTTCCACTGTAGAGTTACAAGCATTTGGAGCATTTGAAGTCCTCCACATTTGGTTTGCTGTATTAGCAATTATTCAATTAACTAATTGACTATGAAACCTGACTTCAAACCGTGAGGCCATTAACAGAGCCACTCTCTCTATAATAGAACTAGACATAGAAATGGCCTTACCTTGTTAATGGCAAATGCCATGATGATGTCAGATTCTTTATGGATGATTTTGGCTTTGCCTCCCGGGTAACCCATATCAGCCTCCACCTGTAACACAACACGCATACACAAATACACACTCGTATTAGTCTGTTCTGCTGCTGTTTTTAAAATAAGCAACCAATCACATCCACACACACAGCAGCAATAGCAGGATGCTAACATGCATTTGAGACCATGTACACACCTCCTTAGAGGGCAAAACATTAATTAGTTATTACTTGATTTTCTAAACATGGTGTCAGAAGCAGAATCCAGTCTGATTGGTTAACCGCTTTCAGTGCCTTTGGTGGTGAGTGAGGAAGAGCAGTGCCGAGCCAGACGAGTTAGTGGATGTGAGGAAAGAAACGGACGTGTGTGTGTGTGTGTATGTGAGGTCACAGCAGGTTAACAGAGGATAGAAGCCCAAAGCTTTAAGAGGGTTTCACAGAGAGACGAGTCCCATTCTGAGACTCAGTACCTTGTTGGTTTTTCGAGCTCCAGTAACGTAGTTTTGTATGAGGTGGTCCACATGATCATCTAAAGACTACACAATACACACCACAACACACACATACATTAACAAACACACACGGGGCACAGCACAAAACACATGCACGAGTGACAAACAGATGGAGAAAAACAAATTAAATAATAAAGACAAAAAAAAATCTCATTTGGAGCTCTGACAGAGAGAGATGGTCTTGAGATAACATGCATATTCCCTCTAGCATCTGTGTCACTACTTACCCTCAACATATAAAGATGGCTACTTACCACAGTTCTGTATTTATTTGATAAAAATCTTGATTCAAAAAACAAGCTGCTTCTCTTGAAGTTTCTCCACTTCTTTAATACCAATTTAAAACTTCTTAAAAACTAGTGTTTTTTCAATTATTTTATGCTGGACCCACCCCTTTTAATTGCTGCAGTTTGGCTCCGCCTATTCAATGCCTTCACTCAGGCCCCGCACACTGTATTACTTCATCTGGTTCAAAGCTGGTCACAAATTTGCCATAATGACCCACAGACGGCTGCTTGGTTCGATGGCTGTACTTAATACATCATGACACTATTTAGACAATGGACAACGGACCTTTTTGCCTGCAGAATTTTGCTAACGTGACTACACTTTATTTCTAGCCCCAACCCTTTTGAATGCATCATAATGGCTCCACCCCTTGTCTTCCCTCACTGTTGCTTTGTCCCCACCTCTTTAATTACCTCACTCTGGCTCTTCCCATTCCATACCAAACTCTGGTCCTGTCCCATATGTCTTTACTCTAGCACTGTTCCCACCCCTTTTGCTACCTAACTATGGCCACTCCCCATTTGTTACTTACCTCACTCCACCTACACCATGTCCCGCCCATTTAACTACCTAGACTGCATCCGAAATCACATACTTCCCTACTATACAGTAGGCAAAAAACAGTATATGAAACAAGTAGTACATCCGAATTCACAGTATTCATAAAACAGTGGGCGAAAAGTACACGGATGACTTAAAGGGATAGTTCACCCAAAAATTTTAATTCTGTCATTAATTACTCACCCTCATGTCGTTTCAAACCCGTAAGACCTTCGTTCATCTTCGGAACACAAATTAAGATATTTTTGATGGAATCTGAGAGCTGTCTGAACCTGCATAGACAGCAATACAACTGAAATGTTCCCAAGTCCAGAGACGTAGCAAGGAGATCGGTAAAATATATACCTGCAAACTCACAAGAGGTCAAAAAGCTGAGATAGTTCGTAATATGACCCTTGTAGGGGGGTCTGGGGGCATCCCCCCATGAAGAAAATTTTTGAGAATTTAGCATGTCAATGAAGCGTTCTGGTGCACTCTGACAACAAAATAAAGGAAAAAGACAACATATGCTTCAAGTAAAAAAAACACATTTATACCACAAACTTTATGGACAGTGCAACATGTTCACATTAGAGTGCGCATTCTATCAACAAACTCCATCTTTTCACTGCAGAGGAAACAGAAGGTGCATCTGAAGTGGCATTAGATGTATTTACACAGACTGTTTAATGAAGCTAAGGTTCCATAAATGCATTTACACCACAAAATTTCAAATGCATAAATAATTTTATAAGATTAATGTTTTAAATATTTTTGAACATACAAGTTAAACATGTTGGGAAAAATGCAATCCTTTTAAATATGAAATCAAACCACCAGTAGATGACGGTAAATTACATAAATGTTTTAATGAGCGAGTCATTAGCCATTCATTCAAATGGCTGATTCATTCAAGTGACTACTGTCTTTACGAATGGGTTACTGAATCATTGACTCGCTTGATTTATTCAAAAACGTGGATTCATTCAGTATCGAAACACCGCTGTGTTGCTTGGAGACACAAAACAGTTCTGCTGTGGCTTTGATTGAAACTTCGTCAGCGAACTTGAGCAAAAACAGTGAATACTGTATTACAAATTGCGAACTTTGTGTCTGTTTAGCTCACAATGAAGAACTTCCACGCCGATGACATGTTTACATGCGGATGTGAGCGTAAGTGTGCTGTCAGAACGGACCGGCTGTGAGATGAGGTGTGTTCGATTTGAAGCAGCAGCGCGCGCAGAATGATCGGACATCAAAGTACCACGAGAGCGATTCGAAAGCACGCGGAGCCATCTGCTTTCTGTAGCTCTCGCGGTGCTTTGATGTCATACAGCGATCGGTCTGTGCATTGCTGCTTCAAGTCGAACCGAGAAAGGGACTCTGGTCGAACACACTCCTGTCTATGAGCTTGCAATCTCTTTCCTCCCAGACCCCACCCCCCAAAAAAAACTCTAGACGATTCACATAAATGACATATTTTGATTCAAAACGGCGAATTTCGCCAAAAAGCGACTAGTTTGCAGGTATGAAAATAATCCATGTGACATTAGGGGTTCAACCGTAATTTTACAAAGCTACGAGAATACTTTTTGTGCGCAAAAAAA